AAAAAAATTTACAAATCAATAATAAATTTTATCAATTTTAATAAATAAAATTATAAAAATTTTCACAAATTTATAAATATTTTGTGAAAAGAAGATCGAATAGCAGTTTTCATTTCATTTTATAGTTAGGCCTACATTACACTAAGGGCTACTTTGGCAAGTCCAAAATAATTTAAAAGGTCAAAAAATTACACAAAAAGTAAAAAAATTATTACTATTCAAAAAAAATATTTTATATATTTTTATAATACAAAAGGGCACTTAGATACTGTCAGCCGTACTTGTGAGCCTTGTAGGCCATTATACAGATTTTGGGCCCAAAAAAAAAAACTACATATATACAGTCACAAAGTTTGATGGTAATGTTGGGCCCTTGGGGGCCCACTAAGGGTTTCGTTTTGATAATCCGAACCGTTCAATATGTAGAACTCATCGAGTAATATATGCCTGTAGAAAAATCACGTTGATCGGATATCGTTAACTATATGATCAAATTAGTTTTGTATAAACAAAATGGATGGTGTGATAGTTAACTGTTAAAAAAAAACTAATCCGATCATATTGCTACCGATATCCGATCAACGTGATTTTTTACAGGCATATAATAGACGACGAGTTGTACATATTGAACGGTTCAGATTATTAAAATGGAACCCATGGTGGCCCCCACAGACTGACCATTACTGTCCAAATACTTTGCCCCGAAGGAGGCAATTATTTTCTGTGTAAGACATGCTGGGGCAGCAGTGCAGTCGTACAACCACTCCACTTTTTTCCACTATACACTTTATTTATACAATTTTTTATTACATATTTTTTCGTAAAAAGACAAAAAGTTAACCCAAACATCTATCTTTTTTTTTTTCCCTCAACTTTTTAGTTTAAAAAGACAAAAAAGTGCACTTATTTAGAACACCCCAAACAACCCCTTAATTTTCTTTTTTGAAGCTCAAAATGCTGACATTACATTTCAAGACAGTATTGTTTGAGAAAACTATATGTAAACCCAAATGGTTTATTTCTTCCTCAAAAAAATGTGGAGAGATTTTTTTATCCCTGGTTACAACATCTCTGATGATTTTTGTTAAACCTGACTTAGAAATGAAAGGGTAAATATGGTTACCCCATGGACAGCTCCATTTCCCTACTTATAATGCTCTTGAAGGGCCAAAACCAAAGATAAAGTGCTTAGTCTGTTGCTTTTCAGATATTGCTTTTCAGATAGTGCTACTAGTTAAATGTCTTAAAAAGTATTTTACCTGAATGCGATTTTTAGCACATCAAAGTTGTTGTTAATGGCTGTCCAACTACAATTTAAGTGACACATTGTCTAATCACAAAATCAATTTAAGTAGTATATGTCCCCTAGGGCCCCCGACAGTTTGGATGTCGTTCTCTTCCCGATACAGAGGCTAAAATTTGAGTCTCCTTGACTTACCTATCAAAAGGAAATTAATTAGAATGCACAAGTCTTTCATACTTTTTAGGTGTAGGGAAAACATAATTTATGGGTTCATGCTTATAGTGATCTTGAGTTTTGGTCAAATAATTGACGACCTGGTACTTTAATCATTTAATTACATTGGTAGTTGTCCAACCTTATCTTGGACTGCAAATGTTTTTGTTTAGCTGTGTGCATATTTCAAAGGTTAAAGTTCATGATCAGGCATTTGATGAAATTGTTCAAATATGTTTTTAAATTTAGCCTTTAGACCAGATTGGAGTTTTGTCAAGTGATGTTTAAAACAAGTTTTATTATTTTATTTTGTTTTATATAATTTTTTAAAACATCAATAAGATGTTTGATACTGGTGCCTGTCTGCAGATTGTTGAATGTCGGCGAGTGTTAAAATGGACCTACGCATATGGATACTACTTACCTGAGTATGAAAATGCCAAGAGACAATTTTTTGAATATTTGCAAGGTATGTGGTTTCCTTTAAGCCTCCTCTAAATACAGCTTTGAGAATTGTTTGCAAGTAGTGTTGTCCAATGATGTCTGATATTTCTGCAGGTGAGGCCGAGGCTGGTTTAGAAAGGCTTCATCAATGTGCTGAGAAGGACCTACAAACTTACCTTAATGCTGAAGCTCCTTCAAATGATTTTAATGATTTCCGCACAAAACTGGCTGGACTGACAAGGTAATTTTGTCTGGAAGTAGTCATTCTACTGAAAGTATTGTTCAGATAGGTAAGTAGGCAAGGAGGGATTCACCATTTGCAGCAAGTGTGTGGAAATAACTTAATGAGTTTTTCTTTCTCTCTTACTTGTCTAAGTCTTTGTTATTTCACTATCTATTCCTATCTTAGTCAGAGTCAAAAGTTGTTAAAGACGAATGCACAAGGCGAGACGTTTTTATCCCTCATGGGGTGACGTGTAAACTCAAGATGTTGAGGAATAAGCCTTTTGAGTTTTGATTTTTTATCGAATAAAATTAATTAAAAATAGCATAATAAGAGTATGAAAAGTAAGGAATAGCAAATAAAATTCATAGACACCATTCTATGCATAGAATAGAATTGTAATGAATTTAATAAATCCGACCACCATTGTAAGAGCATTTGTAAGCTAAGAAACATAGTGAAGCTACTGTAAAAAAAAAAAACAATAGGAGAGACATGACATTAAAAAAAAAAGAGAGAGAAACGAGATCATACAATTGTTATGAGAGGAGAGTGCTATTTTATTATTGTGCTACTTGTGGCTTTTTTTTGCTTGCAAGTCCCAAAATTCTTCCTAGTTTAACTATTCTTCACTGCAATTGCTACAGTGTCACCCGAAATTACTTTGAAAACTTGGTTAGAGCATTAGAGAATGGTCTATCAGATGTGGATTCCCAAGGGGGTTGCAGTAAGACAGCAAACTCGAAAAGTGGAGTAGCAGCTGCTGGCAAGGGAAAAGGTGGAAGAGGAAAGGCAGCTTCCCGGTCTGGTGGCCCAAGTAGAAATGCCGATGATTCAGGAAGTTGGTCATGCGATCAATGCACTTTTATGAATGCCAGATCAGCAACCACGTGTGAGATGTGCCACCAGCGCCGCTGAAATGCACTTGTGTACACCCTGCGCTGGTGGTTTTCACTTGGAAGAAAGCCTTTTGAAGCAAGAAATGAAAAAACAACAGGGCATCAAGCTTGAAATGCTCTGATCAATTGTTCAAGCAAAGAGCCTTAGCTATTGAGTGAATCCTCGGATTGTCTTTGGGAGAAACAGATGACCAATATTCCTTGATCTTTTCTTTGTTGTGGGAGCCTAAAGTACGCTATATGGGCGTATTCGGCTTGATAAGTGTTATCTTTGGTAAATGGTCAACTGAGTTGTTTACACATTGACCTTGCTCATTTGACTGTGGATAAAATGCTTTACTAGTAGTATATTAATTTGCTCCTTGTAAGATTCAATGCGCTAGTTGGGCGCATCTGTGCTAGTTGGGCACATTAAGAATGAACCCAAATTGGTCACCAAAATATCTTTAGAGAGGTTATTGCACAAGAGGTAGTGATCTTAAATTACTTCATGTGAGGCGCACATGGTGGATTCCGTTGTATATACTTATCGCAAGAAGTGCTGATAAGACTTATGTTTGGAATCTATAATTGCGCAAGCTGTGGTCTTTTTTTTTTTTTAAATCAATCACTTATTTTGAGATGATGGGATGTTGACACTATTATGATTTGTATCATAATGATTAGCAGATGATGATGTCAGCAGGCAAGATTAGCTCACTCACACGAGCAATCACCCTTGGCGCTTGGGAGCGAGCAAGGATGAGACTAGTGATATTTTTATTTGGAGCCAAGAGAGGCTTAAATAATCCACTATGCATGTCGCCTTGGTTACAACCAAGATGAGGTCGTGTTAAGGACTAAACATGGATGTTAGTACCCATTTTCCAAGTTGTGCCTGTTATGATTAGCCAGATGCGAGATCTCATTTGGCGCCTAGAAGGCGCGCAAATAGAGAATTCGGGTTAGGCGCTAGAAAGCGACTAGACTAATATGTGTACGGTGTATCGAGTATGACATCACTCTTTATGGAAGAGTTACTCCACCATAGCATGTATTCATACTATATGTGCTTGGCGACCGAGTAATGAGGTGAGAGAATGGATCCCTATTTCCTCACCGTGTGAGTCTTACGCGTCATTATTGATATGACTTTCATTTATGTACCCTTTTATGACTTTTGACTATGTCATAAGGTAAGGGGTTGATATTCTGCTACTTTGGTATGTTGCCTGCGGTCATGCATGATTCGGCCTTCAGGGACATCACTGGGAAAGCAGTCAATCCTAAACTAAATGGCATGAATGCAAAGGGAAGATCATCTAGTATTACACCACTGTTGTATATTCACTGCCGGCAACTCACATCGCTCTGTATGAGAGGCGAATTGAGTGTGAATATATTGCAAGAATTGAGAGGGTCAAACATGCTCTTTTTGAGGGATTAGACATGTTTTTTGGACCGGTGTAATTAGATGGGTCTGGGGTATATGAGACACTATTTCTGTTCTTTTTGGGTTGATGTCTCTATGCTGGCTCATTTTGAGTTTCTAGTATAGAGCTCTCACATGCAGGTGTTGTCAGTAGTCGCACGGTGCAGTGGCTAGTATGAGATTGTTTATTTTTTGAGGAGATTGAGATAGAGACGTGGCAGTGTCATGCCAACTCATGTCCGAGTGGGAGATGTTAGAATTTGGGCGCCCATGTGGCATGACCCTCAGAACCTTTTGAATTTGAACCTTTTGAACCTTATCCAAATGGGTTTTGAATTTGAATTCAAACCTATTTGGATAGCCACTCAGGATATATATCTATCATATCATGATATGGATAGATGATATAGATATCAGATATTATCTCATATAACAAATATGGATAAATGAGATAAATAGATTATATATCTGATATATGGGATATGGGTGATTAAGTGAAAAAGTACGTATGTTTGAGTTTTTCCCATATACTGACTCTCTCCCAAAAACAACGATCAAAGCCATTTGCACTGTGGTTTGTGTGGGTGTTATTCACTATTGTAATATCATCCCATTGCTAGGTTGATTGATCAGATTCAGGAAGCACGTGATTTACCCACGAGATCCTTCAATTTAGACTCTGTTTGAAAGGTATGACCATAATTTTTATTCCGCTGCGTTATACTTTGTTTTCAGTTTTTGTTGCTAGTTGCCATCACACCCAAAAAAAAAAAAATGGAGAAAGTTCTTATATTCTTTTGTAGAAAAAGAATACTATTTTTCTTAGCTCTATTTTAGCCACTTCTGAGTTACAAAAAACAAAAAACAAATCAAAATGAAGGATTTTGGTGTTTTCTTGTCTTATTATTACTTGTTAGATGCTAGCCTTTAACAATGTCAAGTGTTTTTATTACATTGCTAACAAACACGAATTATATCATTTGGAATCTCCAATTTCGAGCCTTCATATGAACAACCGAGATAAAAGAACACAATGAAATGCAGAAAATGATACATTTTATCAATATGTAGCAACAATTACAAAGCACTGTTAAGAGCCACAACCAATGGATTAAAAGTCAAATGATATTATATTACATCTATGTGTTATTTGATATAAAAGCCACATATCTCTAACACAAGTCAAAATGAAGGATTTTGGTGTTTTCTTGTCTTATTATTACTTGTTAGCTACTAGCCTTCAACAATGTCAAGTGTTTTTATTACATTGCTAACAAACACGAAGTATATCATTTGGAATCTCCAATTTCGAGCCTTCATATGAACAACCGAGATAAAAGAACACAATGAAATGCAGAAAATGATACATTTTATCAATATGTAGCAACAATTACAAAGCACTGTTAAGAGCCACAACCAATGGATTAAAAGTCAAATGATATTATATTACATCTATGTGTTATTTGATATAAAAGCCACATATCTCTAACACAAGGAAATCATAATTCACAGATATGGTTACAAGTTTTAATTTCGATTCAAAATCAACATAAATAAAACAAATATTAACTTCTATTAATAAAGCCATAAGTGCTATCTTGACAAGCTAGGGGTATTGGTAACCTACTAATCTAGTTAATAAATACTAGCTATTTCATGAGATTGTTTAAATTGGACACATGCAGTCACTAAACCTAGCCATTAATAGGGTTTTGAAAACTTTCATTAAAAATCTTTAATGCAATTGAAAACGTCAAACAAAAATTAATTTAAAGTTGCATCAACTACAGCTCAAGCATTATTATCTTAATTGGGGTGTTATTTGTATGAAATCCACATATATATTTGTGCATGTTTGTTTTTGGCTTCTAACTTTTATTTCTAAAATATGACAAGTCTCTTCATCTACAGTAAATAATGATGTTATTTAATTTTGTAATGAGACGTCATTGTTGTGACATTTTTTTCCTAGTTCTCTTGTGAAATCTTTAGGAGAAAGCTTAAAATCAACAAGAGTGAAGAGTTTTGTAGCATCTGATGCCAAAAGTTCTAGATATACAAAGAGGGTTGGATTTTAGGGTACTCAAGTCAATCGACGTACGTGATGGAGGTTGAAACAATGAAGAAATGCAACTTAAGCACAGTGATAGCATGTCTCTTGTTCTTCGTACTCTTCCTTGTATCTCAGATGAGGATCTCATCAATCTCCAATAAACTAATTGCAACTATTTCTACTTGTATGGATGAAGGTATGGGTTTTCAAGTTTTTCCTAACCATCTAAAATGTTTGACATGCAGAGTAGCAAGAGCAAACATATGTATATACTAGCATAAAACCCATACTATGTACGAGAGACTCAATTCTACTTTGAAATTAAAAATAACAACTACAAAAAATATATATATATTAAAAAATTGGGGTGGATCGGGTTATTAGGTTTGCCTACTTTCGGCACAATTCTAATCCATATTTCTCAAAGTCAGGCTGAGCGTAAGTTTCTTGGAAGAGAATTAAGAAAGATTCATACACAAGGAATTCTAGATAGAGAAACACTTTGTAGATAGAGAAACTCTTGGAAAATGTTTTGCTTGTATTCACTAAGACGGTTTCAACAGATGAGGTCCACCCTTTTTATAGGCTACAAAGATAATTCTAAAAATACAAGGATGGAGAGGATTCTAGATCCTGCTTACACCTCAAATGTCTTGCTTTAGAATTACAAGAATAGTATACACACATCTATAATTATTTTTTTATTTTTTATTTTTTATTTTCTAGAATTATGTACAATGTTCTACGAATCTCTTGATTGTTCTAGATAATTCTAGATTCTTCCATTAGCCTCAAATTTTTGTAGCATTTTCCTAGGAACTTTTGGCGGGACATGACAATGGGCTAACTTGGGCCTGCTATAATTGAATTCAATGTTAAATGGAGCGTAGAAACCGAGTTCGGGTTGATTTTTATGCTAATATTTCTTGACCCAAGTCTATTTTGAGGAATTGTCTTCATTCATATTAAACTCATAAATTATTTAGCCCATGTATTTTAAATTATGTTATAGTTTATCAAGTTGTTATGGGCATGGGCTAGCTTGGGAGTGTTATAATTGTGTTAAACATTAAATGTACCATAGAAGCCGAGTTGGGGTTGACATTTGTACATAATTAACTACATTTTGTCTAAGAAAACTTATTTAATTCTAATTGAATCTATAAATACTTATACATTAGTATTAACATACATTGTTATAACCTCACAACCTCCGTCATTACGGCGAGTGTTATAATTGAGTTAAACATTAAATGTACCATAGAAGCCAAGTTGGGATTGACATTTGTACATGATCAACTACATTTTGTCTAAGAAAACTTATTTAATTCTAATTAAATTTATAAATACTTATACATTAGTATCAACATACATTGTTATAACCTCACAATCTCTGCCATTACGGCCATCGCTATTGCTACCACTACCATTACCGTTGCTACCTCCACCACCACCCACCACCCTTCCACGATCACCACCTTCTTTACCACTATCATTGTTTCCATGAACACCATCATTATTTCAGTACCACTACTATAGTCGTCATTGTCATTACTACCACCACTACAATAGCTACTACAACACTTCACATCCGCAACCATTATTACCATTGTCATAACCACCACCATCATTCTACCTCCACAATAACCACCATCATTACACCAACGCCGCTACCCATTATTACCCCTCCATCATCATCACAATTGTTGTCTCTCTATTTGCACCATCATTGTCATTGGCACTATAGGCACCATAGTTGCTTCAACCACCACCAATTCATCATCACAATATAAAATTTTAAAATAATAAAATTTAAATTTAATATCATATATATCAAACAATTTATTTTACTTCAGCCCTTATATTTTTCTTAAATAACTTTTTAGCTAAAAAAACTTAACATTTAATTTTTAGTACTTAATTTTCCTTTTTTAGTTTTCAGTTTTATTAGCACCTCAGTTTGGTGGTGTTTGATAGAGCACATATAGTATGCCCGACTTAAGGGTACTCTATTTGAAGGTTCAGTAATCAAAAGTTAAGAATATAAGAATCATACAAATAATCACTCTAACATCACTTAAAATAAATAAATAAATACTCTCCAAAAAATCAAAACTTTGACTATTAGGCTAATTAGTCAAACCCAATTTTTGGACTATTAGGCTAATTCTAAATTGCCCTCCACTCAAATTAATTCTACCAACCAAACTAAAGGTATGGTAGGAAATTCAACAAGAAGCTGAATGGCAAAATAGGAAACAAAATACAAGCCTCCTATACTCAAGTTATTCTTATATAGATAGATATACACAAGCCAACTTGAGATGAGTATTGGCTTTTTTAAGTTTGTCATGAAATGTTCAATTCAACTTTGGTTTGTTTACATTTTGAACCGAGCTCACGTGTAGGTTTTTTATACAAATTTAGAGTGCATCTAAGTTACTCAAGCCAATTTTAGAAAATTAATTATGTTCAAAATGTGTTTAAATTTAACTTGCTTTCACATAACAAATCAATTTCGAACGAACTTTTAGCGAATTGAACATGAGTCAACCTCAAGTAACTCAGTCTGCTTTATAGCCCTAACATTAATTTTATTCATAAAAAGTAGTTATCATCTAAAACTTCAATATACATATGAATTTTATTTTATTTATCTATATAAATCTTGATTACATTTTATTAATTATCATAACTTCGGTAGCAGGAACAACATTTTCAGTGTTTTTGGACCCGCAATCCCAAGAACAAGCTCACTCAGACTCAGCCGGCCCAATTATTTGCAACCGCTCTCATCGTAGTTATGATATCTGCTCAATCAACGGCCCAACTATCTTGGACCCCAAAGTGTCCACCTTCTATGCTATTGGCCACACCAGTTCAACAACTCAGGTGGAAAAAGTAAAACCTTACCCTCGAAAATGGGATATATTTAGAATGTCCCAAATCACAGAAGTCACTCTCGCCTCAGGTCCACCAAGGGCACCATGCATGGTCCAACACAATGCCCCAGCCCTGTTATTCAGTGCTGGAGGGTACAGTGGAGATTTCTTTACCGACTTCAGTGATGAATTCATTCCACTCTTCATCACCATCAATTCAATCTACTCCAGTGAGGACCTTGTCCTTGTGATCTCAAATGCACATGATTGGTGGACGAGGAGATACGCAGATTTGCTACAGACTTTCAGCAAGTACCCGATTATAAACCTTGACAACGACACTACCACCCATTGTTTTCCTTCAGTCACAATAGGCCTCATCTCACTTGACCTAATGAGTGCTGACCCAAAACCAAGACCAAACTCAAAAACCATCTCGCATTTCCATGCACTGCTAGATAAAACCTATGCTCATAACCATCCTTCCAACCCTACCTCCCTAAAATCCCGTCCACAGATGGTGTTAGCTGGGCGGAACAGTGCCATTGGACGCGTGATCATGAACCGAGCGAAGGTGAAAAAGGTGGCAGAGGAGGAGGGTTTTGATGTCATTGAGTTTGAACCAAAATATGCAACACCATTGCGGGAAGCATACGCATTAGTGAGTTCAAGCCATGTAATGGTAGGGGTGCATGGTGCAGCACTCACTCACTTCTTGTTTCTCCAGCCAGGATCGGTTTTCATGCAGGTGGTGCCAATCGGAACGGAACAGCTAGCGGAAGTGTGTTTCGGGAATTTGGCTAGGGACATGGGGTTGAAGTACATGGAGTATAAGATTGGGGTGGAGGAGAGCAGCTTGGTGGACGAGTATGGGAAGGATGCTATGGTACTAAGGGACGCAGAGGCTTTTCTGAAGAAGAAGGGGGGTTGGTCTAGTGGCACTGTGGAGACTTATTTGAAGAAGCAAAATGTAAGATTGAATTTGACTAGGTTTAGGGGATATTTGAAGAAGGCATTTGTAAAGGCAAAAGCATTCATGGACAAAGAGGGTTAGAATGCGGTGGCATCCCATGCATGGTTACTATGTAAAAGATGATATTCCACAAACTGATGAAGTCCAAACTTAAAATATAAAAAATTACACTTTTTTTTCGTTGAAAAGTACTATACGCAGTCTAACTTTCCAAAACTAGACCTAAGACAATCAACATACAAAACTAGCTGCTTACCTAATAAATTTTGCAAAAAGAACAAAATAAAACAAATAATAATAACAATAATTTATATGTATATGAGTGTAGATAAGTATATGTATACATGTATTCAAAGATTTAATTTGGCCCCCAAAAAAAGGCCTATTTTGTATGTACATACAAGTATATGTGTTGGTGTTGTGAGAATATTTGATTTTATGTATATATGGTAATACATATATTTTGTATATATTAGAGATTGAGTAAATATTCTTATTTCCTTTCTCAATTGTAGATTAGATTGTTATATAAACCGATGTACTCTTATATTACAAACACAATTGAATAAATGAGTTTCTTCAAAAATCTTTCATGATATCAGAGCCTTGTCCGAAACCCTAGTTCTCACCTCTAATTGGTTTGAAGTTCTTCCTTCAATTTGAAGGTTCCCTCTAGTTTGAAATCATCTTTGGTTTTGTTCTTTGGATTCGATCAAGTTCGAGTCATCAGATCACCTTCTGCCTCGTCAGGTTTTTTACAACTCTTCTGATCTCGAAACGTATCTGATTCAAGGCCTGTGGATGACCATCGGAATCAAGTTTTCTCGCTAGAATCGCAACGTTGTCTCTCACGACTTGGTCTCTTGAGTGTCGCGACCCGTCTGTCCTTGCATTGCAACCCATCAGCTGCATCATCGTGACCCATCGTTGCGTCGTCTCACCTTCGATTCGCAACCCTCTCTTGTTCGCCTGCTTAGTCTGGTCATCTAGTTTGAACTTCTTTGGTCAACTTCGAAACCCTAGTTCTCACCTCTAATTGGTTTGAAGTTCTTCCTTCAATTTGAAGGTTCCCTCTAGTTTGAAATCATCTTTGGTTTTGCTCTTTGGATTCGATCAAGTTCGAGTCATCAGATCACCTTCTGCCTCGTCAGGTTTTTTACAACTCTTCTGATCTCGAAACGTATCTGATTCAAGGCCTGTGGATGACCATCGGAATCAAGTTTTCTCGCTAGAATCGCAACGTTGTCTCTCACGACTTGGTCTCTTGAGTGTCGCGACCCGTCTGTCCTTGCATTGCAACCCATCAGCTGCATCATCATGACCCATCGTTGCGTCGTCTCACCTTCGATTTGCAACCCTCTCTTGTTCGCCTGCTTAGTCTGGTCATCTAGTTTGAACTTCTTTGGTCAACTTCATTTGTTGGAATCGCAGCATCAGTTCTTCGGCTTCGACTTCGTCTTCATCTGTTGCTAGATTTGCGACACCAGTCGCATCTGTCACAGTCGCGACCCGTTGCATCACGACATCTCTCTCTCTCTCTCTCTCTCTCTCTCTCTCTCTCTCTCTCTCTCTCTTGTTCTGAGTCTCGTGACCTGGGTGTTATTCTTCGGCTGACCATAGTTCTCCTTATTCTTCTTTGGACAAGAGAAGGTTCTGGATATTACATTTTGACCCATCTAGTGCTAGCTTTGGGTTATTACAATTTGACCCATCAATTTTCTGTTTATTACACTTTGCCCAATTGGTTCTAGTTTTGGTTCATTGCGATGTTGGATATCCATCAGCTTCAGCCTTTTACAAAGCCTAAGAAAGGGCCACTAACTTCAGATGAGTGTGCATTATGCCATCACAAGGGCCATTAGAGGTACTACTATCCCAAGAATGGGCGTCTACCTGCCTCATCTTCTCAACAGTCTCAGAACCAGTTACGTGCTCCTTCCACTGCTTATATTGCATCTGTTCTAGCTTTTAATCCCGACTTGGCTTCCTTCAAGTGCTTAGATTAGTCAGCTTCAGTATATACTGTCTACCTCACAGTCATTCCCGTCTGCCTTTGTTTTTTCTCTCTTTATTCAGGTTTGCTTGGTTCTTGTTCAAGTATCTCTTCGTCTGCCTGGCTCTTTGACTTTGGTGCCTCTCATCATATGACTCTTCATCTCTCTTTACTTCAGAATTGTACTCCCCTTCCCTTTCCTACTACTATTAATGTTGCTAATGGGTATGGTATGTCTGTCATATCTATTGGGTCTGTCCTAACGCCTACCATGTCTGTTGTCTTCATTCCATCTATCTTTTATGTTCCTCAATTATTTGTCAGTTTATTATCTATCAGTCAGCTTGATGCCTCTGGTTTTGATATTATCTTTTCTTCTTCTATCCTTTCTGTGCAAGATCAGGTGTCCAAGCAAGAAATTAGGACTGGTCGTAGAGTTGAAGACCCCTATGGGGTGAAGAGATTACATCTGCCTGTGATTACCTCTTTAACTGCCTTTTTCTCTTTTCAGTTAGATTCTCTGTCAAGCCCTTTCTATTTGTGACATTCCAAATTACTGCATTTGTCTACTGACTGCTTACGGTCTTTAACTCAGTCAGGTATATTGGGCAAAATTTTTCTTAGTCAACTCATCGAGTGTTGGGAGTGTAAACTTGCTAAAATGACAGTCTTACCTTTCCGTAAAAGTACTTATATATCTAATATACCGTTTTCTTTAGTTCATACTGATGTCTGGGAGCTTTCTCCTGTTTTTACTAAAGGGGATTCTACATACTATGTTTCATTTGTTGATGATTGCACCCATTATACTTGAGTTTATCTTATAACTTATAAGTCTAACTTCTACCAGATATACCATACATTTCAGTCTATGGTCACTACACAATTTAGATATACTATTAAATTATTACAATCTGATTTGGGTGGAAAATATTTTAAAACTGAGTTCTATGAGTATTTGGCCAATTTGGATACCATTCACCAAACTTCATGTACTGATACACCTGTCTAAAATGGTCAACCTGAGTGTAAACACCGTCATTTCCTTGAGACAACTAGGTCTCTTCTCTCTGCCTCTATTCTGACTCTGTTTTGGGGTGACAATTCTTACTGCTGCTTTTCTTCTCAACCGTATGTCTACTCATCTTCTCTCTGATCAGTCTCCTTACGAGGCTCTGCTTTCTCAACTTACCAATTACACCCTTCTTCGTGTGTTTGGATCTGTTTGTTTTGTCCTTTTACCCCATAAAAATATGACTAAATTTAGTGCCCGATCTGTCTTATGTGTCTTTTTGGGTTACAGTTTCACTCATAAAGGTTATCACTGTTATGACCCTATTTCCCATCACTTTTATGTCTCCTGCCATGTCACCTTTCTCAAACGTCTACCTTACTTTCAGTTTCCTCCTCTCACAACCCCAGTTTCCAAAGAGGATTTAGGTCATATTGATCCATTTCCTTCCGAGATCCCTCTTGATGACTACATCTCTGCTATTCCCCATGAACTTGCTCCATTTTCTCCTCGTACTACCCCTTCTAATGAGCCCCTCTCCACTAACCCCCATGAGTCGGTTCCCTCTTCTCCTCATCTTCTTCTTCCGCCTGCTCTTTATCCTCCTCCATTGTTAGTCTATTGTCGTCGCAAGGCTCTCCCTCCACTAGTTGTTTCTGCCCCTACTGATCCTCCTGCTTCTGACGACTCTAATCTTGCGAACCGTAAGTATCCCCTTCACATCTGTAAATAGGTAGTCAAACTTGGTTTTACTAAAACATGTTTTTCTTCTTCATACTGTATGTTTTTGCCTGTTATTCATTCTTTTTTAGAACCTCAGTCTTACAAGGAAGCCTATCAAGATCCTCATTATATTCAAACTACAAAAGATGAGTTGTATGCTTTGCAGAAAATTAGTATTTGGGAGTTGGTTTCTTTGCTTCTAGTAAGAATCTGGTTGGTTATAAAGTTAAGACTCATTCTGATGATTCTCTTGTGCGCTACAAAACTCGTCTAGTTGCCAAAAGTTTTTCACAGGAGTGTGGTATTGATTATGAGGAAACCTTTGCCCATGTTGTCAAGATAACCACTGTCCGTACTTTGATCTTTGTCACTGTTTTTCGTCATTGGCCTCTTTATCAGATGGATGTTAAGAATGCTTTTCTTAATGGTCATCTCGTTGAGGAGGTTTACATGCGTCCTCTCCCTGGTCTTCCTCACTCCTCTAGACAAGTTTATTGTCTTCAGCATACTCTATATGGTTTGAAGCAATCTCCTCGGGTTTGGTATGATCGCTTTCAAACAGCTATTAGTGAGCTTGGGTTTCATCCTTGTGCCCAGGATTCCGCTTTGTTTCTCCTCCACACATCTGCTGGTTTTGTTGCCTTACTACTATATGTGGATGATATGATCATCACTGGCTCTGACTGTTCTGCTATCTCTGAAATCAAGCAGCATATTTTTCACGCTTTTAAAATGAAGGATCTAGGCCCATTACAGTATTTTCTTAGTATTGAGGTAGCTTCTTCTCCCAAGGGCTACTTTCTGTCTCAGGCCAAGTATGCGAATGAGATTATTCATCGTGTCGATCTTACTAACACTAAGACTTCTGATACCCCCATTGAGCTTAATGTGAAGCTCAACACTGCTGATGGTGTTCCGCTAAATGATCCTACTTTATATCAAGAGCTTATGAGTTTTTTAGTCTATCTGACGGTTACTCGTCTTGATCTTGAGTATGTTGTTCATGTGGTTAGCCAGTTTATTTCTGCTCCTCGCTCCACATATTGGGCTGCATTGATTCGGATTCTTTACTATTTACGAGATACTATATTTCAAGATTTACTATTATCCTCTACTTCCTCTTTGGATTTGATAGCCTATGATGGTTTTGATTAGGCTGGTGATGTAACTGATTGCAAGTCGACGTCTGATTTCTATACATTTCTTGGCAATTCCTTGATTTCTTGGAAAAGCAATAAACAAACTGTTGTTACTCACTCTACTATTGAAGCTGAGTGTTGTGCCATGACTCATGCTACTGCTAAGATTGCTTGGCTTCGTTGTCTCTTGTCTAATTTGGGTGTCCCGCAGTCTTCTCCGACCTCTCTCTACTGAGACAACTACAGTGCTATTCAAATTGCCCATAACACTGTATTCCATGAACGAACGAAGCATATTGAAATTGATTGTCACTTTGTCCGTCAACATCTGCAACTTGGCTCTATCTCGCTTCCTTTCGTCTCTTTGGCTCTACAATTTATTGACTTCTTTACTAAGACTCATATCACTGCTTAGTTTCAACTTCTTATTAGCAAACTCTCTGAGTTTTCTGTTAAAACACCTTGAGTTTGAGCAAGAGTGTGAGAATATTCGATTTTATGTATATATAGTAGTATATATATTTTGTATATATTAGGGATTGAGTAGATATTCTTATTTTCTTTTTCAGTCCTAAGTTAGATTGTTATATAAACCGATGTACTCTTGTATTACAAACGCAATTGAATATATGAGTTTATTCAGAAATATTACAAGTGTCTGTATGGAAATATATATGTTTGCAATATTAGGACTTCAGCTGGCAACAATGAATATTTCAATCTAGTGTCCTACACCTACTCAGTTCAATGTTCTATCAATTCAAATTTTTACTACCAAACATCTTAAAATTGGTCAATTTGGAAGGGACGCATTTTTTTCCTTGGACCACCCAAACAGTATATGATTTCAAGATGAACCAACTTACAAAATGACATAGTAAGTGCAACCAAGCAAGCACTCTATGAACTAATTGTCAATATTATGTACAAAATGAAGATCTTGTTCAATTATCACAAAGTACCCAAATACCTCACAATGAAATCCAATTATAAACATTACATAATGATGAGGTTTTTCTGCGTATCTCATTACATATCAAAAAATAAATAAAAAATTTCCTCTGCTCAAGCCATCAATTTAGAAGGCCATCTTCTTAATGAAACTTAAACCTTACCCAACTATTGCCAGAAATACCAAGGTCAATGAATACAAAACAAGTGTCGCTTTGCTTGAACTGTATGGCTGAATTTTAATACAGTGATATTTATTTGCTGTTGAATAGGAATATTGTGTACCTTCTGATCACATGGGAACTACAGTTGATTCACAAACAATCTCGTATACTGATATAATATTTTCGATACTCAACAAGAATATGATGCACCATTCCAGGAGATCCGACCTTCTGTTTTGGAGGACTTCCTGAAGAAAGTGAATGTTGTGCTGCCAAAAAGAAAGGCAAAGTTTTTACCAGTTAACAGACACTTTTTTTTATAAAATTATTTACTATAATAGTAAAATATATGGAAACATGAAGGTGATGACCTTTAGACATGGCCAGAAATATTTAAGTGATAGACACATGAGATAAATTTGTCATAAAAATCCTGATGCAAGTAGGCCTATAACTATAAAAATCCTGATGCTAATTTATGCACATGAACCACGTTGCTCTTCTAGGTACCCAATCCGCACAAGAAATAGCGGATCCCCAACCAATCTATAGAATGGTGGACTAGAGCTGAATTCTCTCTGAGCCTGCAGATTGTGAGAATAAGAGCCAAATTGTGTTGAACAACTTGAACGAGGATTTGGCCGCAAGTCGGTCCTTTGCAATGATTTTAGTGAAAATTTTAATACTAGGGGATGGTTTAGGATGATCTAAATAAGTGTACTTTTTAACTTTTTATAAAATATGGGTTGGGTTGGAAACGATGTGTTAAAGAGGTGATGTGACTTAAATAAGATGATGTGACTTAAATAGGATAGTGACTTTTTGACTTTTTAACTTTTTTGGATCATGCCAAACAATGCACTTAAATAGGATAGTGACTTTTTGACTTTTTAACTTTTTTGGATCATGCCAAACAATGCCTAAATATGAGGGCAAAGACTTGAATTTCCACCAAGTTAGTTGATGCCTCAGGAGCACCGAAGACCGGTAAACTGTTTTGTTTAGTAGCATATAAAATTTTTTTTTTTTTTTTGGAACATATTGAACACCAGTAAAAACTTCATCCAAAAATAAATAAAGAAAGGAAAAGGAAAACAATAGCTAAAACCAAAAGTTATATAAATTGTCATACACATACAAACACACATGCTGGAGCTCTAGACCATATGGCATCACAATAGCTGCTACTCTCATGATGCAGAACCAAGTCAATGTCGGCATGTCTTTTTTCCTCCAACTCAACCATGCACTAGCCAACTAAACCCAGGTTGTGTTTGAATCATGCACTTGGGTAGGGGTTTGGAAGGGAATGGAAAAGGTGAGGGAAATGTGAATGAAATATAAGCTCATTTTTTTCTCTGTTTCCCTCACCTTTTCCTTTTCCTTTCCAAATCTCTATGCAAATCCATGATGCAAACACAGCCTAAGGGTGTGGTGTGGTTTTTACTTCCACATTTGTTCATATAATACTGGTTACTTTTAGCATTTTATCATCACTGCTGTGCGCCCTTCAACTATATAATATCATATGATGCTAAAGAATACTCAAATGTTAATATCCAACAAGAACCAACCTAAACATCCATATTAGGAAATATACAAGAGGCTGAAATATACCTCCACAAATTTCAATTTAAAATCAAGGTTTCCAAATCGCTGAGTGACCTCATACTCATCCCGAAGGTACTCAAATATTTGACTATATTTTGCATCTCTCCAAGCAATTTCTGACCTATATAATGAACACACAAATTAGTTCAGAGGCTGCTACAAGCATAGGAATAAACTTACTCATTTGTTCAAAATTAAAGAAAGCAAAAATAGGAAGAAAAAAAAATCTAAAAAGTTCATAGGATTTCAGAGTTTGAATTAATCAACTAGACTTAAAATTAAATGCAGGGGCAACATCATCACAGATACATCAACTGGATAGATAAGGAAAAACATAAAATTCTTGATAAGTGGTCTATTGACTTAGGACTAGAAGACATAAATGGAATGTTAATGCAGTTTAACATATCAGTGCTATAAACTTCCAGATGAACCCAAACAAAAAATAAACAAATAAATAAAATAGAAGTATGCAATTGCTCGTATATTTGCAAGTATCGTACACATATATGAGTACATAATAAACAATAAATGCCATGTCATATTTCAAATGTATCCATTTTTTAAATGTATGACTTCTACTTCTTTTCTAATCTAGCAAATAAGTCTACAATTCCTAGGCTTCAAATTTGGTTTGATCCCATGATGCGCATGTAAGGCAAACTAAAGCAGAAATATTCAACCAAAGCAAGTAATCTTAAGTGGCCAAGAAGTTCTCAGAGCATGGCGTAACTACATGTTAATGAGCCTGAGCCCAGACCACATTGACTCTCTCCCCACCACCACTGCAGACCACAGAAAGTCCCCCAACCCCCACACAGTGTGGCAAAAAGTTAACCTGCAAGATATTATTTCAATATAATTGTTTCCCCGTCACTCCTCCAAAGTTAGGTCATTTTGGCATGCTCTGTATATGGGGTTGGACCTAAAGGCCCTAGCATGATTCCACATTTCTTACCTTGTGACTAAGCTTGTTTGGTTCTGGTTTTCAAAAAACTGTTTTCAAAAAATTTTACTTTTTTATTTTCCGTATTTTAATGTTTTCAATGAATTTTTTTAATATTTTAAGTAATTTTTTTTAATTTTTAGACACACCTAACATAAATACACTTAAAAAGTATAAAATTTATGAAAAAAAAAATCTTTAAAAAATTCACTAAATACCAAAAAATACAAATATATATATATATACGAAAATTCAAAACATTTTTCATATTTTTGTATATTTATTAATTTTTAAAATCTTTTTTCACAAATATTTTACTATTTAGATACATCTATGTAAGTGCAGCTAAAAAACTAAAAAAAAAAATTGCTTAAAATTTAAAAAATATTCACTAAAAACAAAAAAAAAAATGAAAAACAATAAACACAATTTTCAGAAAACTGAAACCAAACACACTCCTTGCCCCTCACATTTAGTGTATGTTCAACCACAGTGAGCCTTTTATGTCTCCATCACTCCAAAAGTTAGGCCTTTTAATGTGTTGTGTTTTATTTCTTCTAATCGAAGATAAAAACAAAAGAAATTTTGTTTCTGATCTATTCAGAGTTTCTACATCCTAGGAGTGCACCTTATTTTTTAATTTGTTTTTGATAAGTAAAATCAAGTTGTATTAAAAGAGCACCAAAAAGGGATTCTACCCATGTGCAAAAGGGTAAACCATGATAACCTATACCCCACAATACAAAAAAAGGTGCATGAAAAAGACTCCTTCCCCACCACCACAAACAAAAACAAAAAAAGAAGGAAAAAAACTGTCCTAGGGATTCTTACAAATTAAGAGAATCAACAAAATTCACAAAATAATCAAGGCTAGGTGTAAGTAACTATCCCCGAACACCAACTATACAAAATGGCCCATAAAACAAATTTTAAGTCTATATAAAGGCTCCTCTACCACTTGAAAGGTCCTCATGTAATGCTCCCTCCATAATAGCTCCATCAAGCACAAACGAGCTAGCAGTCAAGCCTTCCCTCTCTGCTTGTGGAGTTGTGATGGTAAAGAGTTGCTGCTTGGAAACTGAGGGGTGTTGCTACCAATGGAGAGGGTGGATGCTGTGAGTGTGCAGCTGATGGAGAGAGTGATTAAGTTTTATTGTTTAAAAAGAGACGCTGATCCAATGTGGAGGTTATCTAATCTTAACTTACAACTTTACCTTGAGAACCATTGTATGCATGAAATTGGGCTGGGTCAATTGGGTCATTTGAAACTCTGCCCAAGCCCAACCCAAACTTAATCTATGCTTATCATATTTAGGCCAAGCTCTATCAAATGCTCAGACCACTTTATCCAGGTCCAAACAAAAATGAAGTTGGACTTTGTTGCCTGGGTGGACTGTGTTGAACACACCTGATTTGCATCCATAAGCATTTTTTTCCCCAAGACTCTCCTTAATCATGATGGGCTTGGATTTACTCGGGTAAAACCCCCACCCATCACCCTTAATCCCAACCCATGGTGGAAAAACTTTGTCCAGGTAAGACATAGGTTTCTTGAATTTATCACCTATCCAACATAGAAATACTCTAGCATCCTTCCCAATATTGGAATAGGCGCATCACAGATCAATCCTACATAAAGATTATCTTCGAATATAAAAGAGTAAGATATGGTGACTTGGTGACAAACAGAGATAAGAAAGCAGGTGACAAAGGGAAAGTGTTTGAGACCCTTAATAAAACCCCCACAATGATGTGGAATGATTGGTGTCAACTTTTGATTTGTCACATACTCAATCATGTGGGGCTTTACTTCCTTGCCATATGATTGTGGGTGCATTTGGGGGGTCTCAAATGTGGGTCTCTAACATTACTCGGTGACAAAGGCAACCAAAACCAAGAAGATACTGGAACCTAGGTATTCGGTACAACCTAAAAAGATTTTACCCACCAAATCAGAATGCATTATCAATTTAGGGTCCATCTATTTCACCGTAAAATATTTTACACCATGTAAAATGATTTTGCCCAAAAACAAATTTTTGTTTTTGTTTTCCTGTGTTTGATTAGCATTTAAAATATTTAAAATATTTTCTACAACAAAAATTTCAATAAAGAATCAATTATAAAGTAAATTTTAAAAAGAACAAAGAAAATTAATATTTATACATAATTTTCATATAGAATTGAACACAAATGATATGGCAATGTCATTCTTACAACTTATGAAATATAGTAATGAAAATTTGAACTTTCAATTAGTGAATATGAATGTAATAAATCATCATATATAAACTGTTTGTATACAAATTATGTTTGTATATCATTACTAAAGAATAAAATAAGACAAGGATTGAATGTAACAAAAATGACAATTCCAAAACCTAATTCCGATCAATTGCTCAACCATAATTTATGTATAGGTATAGGTATATATATGTAGAGAGAGAGAGAGAGATACATAGAGAACAAAAACGTTCAATGTGTATGAAAGTAATGAAACTTGATACGTACTTCGAGTAGTATCAACCATGATGAGAGAAAAAAAATAACTTATGGAATTTTTAAATGTAAATAAATCTACACTATATGACGTAAAAAATATTTTACTTACTTTTTGGCCAACCAAACAACGGAAAATAGTTCAAATATTTTAGGGAAAAATATTTTACGGCAAAACAAAGCCTTAATGGAAAATTGTTTTCCAAGACCTTCATGGGCATATTGTGTCCCTACTTTTCTTTACATCCAAATGAACACATTTTATTTGTAAAGGAGAAAATGTTTTGAATTTTATTATCAACTGAACTTTTTTGACCTAAAGAGGAAGAAGAGCCTATAGTATCCAATCTAGATCCTTCAAAATTATCTCATAATATGGAATGAGAAGCATAAAATATTTTTTTTTCCAATTTTGCATACTCAATCATGGGTAAAATGAAATAGAGGCTCAACTTTATATTACATAAAACATTACCTGTCAAAAAGTCCAACTTTGAGAATCACATCAGCTAGATTTGAATTTGCCTTTCCAACGAGTTGAAAGAGCTTCTTCCTCTTCATTGTGAAAGTACCAGTTTTTTCCATACCACGATTTATATCTGTAAATTCTTCAACCATACCATCAACCTGAGAGAGAGAGAGAGAGAGAGAGATTATGAACAACTCCAAATTTGGATTTAGTTTCCTTCAAAACTAAATTGCCAATATAGCATGCTGTGTCAATAAATAGTAACCATGATTCAATGGCAGTGACAAGCAAAACACATCTATGATACTTAAAAAACAAACAGTCGAACAAAGAATTGTGTTGGCTCTTTTCCATGACAAAACATTGATGGATAATCTTGTAATTTGATATTGCAAGATATTTGAAGTTGTAAAGATGTTTGAAAAAGTTTGATCTTTGTGGAACATAGCAAAATCATGCCAAACATTCGAATGATGGGGTTGAACGTTCGAACGTTGGATTAAGTTCACCCGTGTGTTTAACATTTGAAGTTCTATGTTAGAAAGATTGGTTAAACATTCGACATTCAGTCATTACTTTGCCCAGGACCAGTGTTTAATGTTTGACACTCATGCGAAGAACACTCAAACATTTGCAAGTGCAGTGTTGATTCACAACGGATTTTCATGGTCAACTTTAAACAGACATATCTCCCTCATCCAATGTCAAATTTGAGCCCATGACCTACCATTGTAAAGTTACAAAAGTCTACTTTCCAATGGCGCTGATTTCGTCCAAAAAAACAAAAATAAATAAAATCCAAGTATGTTATGACTAATGATCAAACGAGTGAACAATGGTCGAACAGTCAAACAGTGTTTTTGTATGATGCCTAATTTTGTGCATCTCACTTCAGCGCCAAATTATGAAGTTTTCCATGCCTTTCAAGTGTATCTATTAAGATTACAGACTTCCAAAGTGTCTTCGTTTTTATTTATTCAAAAGGTATAGCGTTTAATGAATGATTCAGAAAGACAGTGGGTCTCTCTCTTTTCCGTTTTAATAAAATTTTGTTGTTTCTCAAAAAAAAAAAAGAAAGACGGTGGGTCTCTCTCTTGTGCAAGAGATGTGCAGCGACTTCACTTTTTCCCATGTGCTTTAAGTCAAATTGTAGAAAAACATTTAAGAAAATGTTAAGAGTTATTATTCAAATAGTTGTGAAAGGATGGGTCTTCCTTGAACATGACTATAAATGTATATATACATACATACATACATACATACATAAATAAAAGCTTACACTCCATATGGGCCAAAAGAGAATTTTAGCTTCTGCCCATGTGACTTAGACAGAAAAGATCTTTGAGAACATGGAGGCTGAAAATTTTATTGGTTATATTTGATCTAGCACGTGTATAAAAAGGGTATATGAGTTTAAGGTTTTTGGACTAGAAAAGCAAATTGTATGAATGTATTCTATGTACAATAGAGAGGCTGTGCTGAGTACTATTCATTTCCTCATCCTTACTCTCCGTCAATCCAATTCAATTGGAGCCACCGTGGGGTGGAGAACGCACAAGAATCCGTGGTGTTATGGTTGGAAGTTGAGTATGTATCCTAGGTAAATTGTTGCAAGTTACTTCTTGAATAGTGGATTTGATTGCAGGCATTGTGCCCATAGTTTTTCCCTCGTGAGGGTCAACACGTAAATTTGTGTATGATATTGTGGTTGATTTATTTGTATTTTGATCTTGATTATTATGACTTACATACAACAATGGTGGATGATATACTAGCTTGAATTTCCTATTTGATTAATTTTCTTAACACTGCTCAAACGTAATTTAGTTTGGGCCAAAATTTCAATTGGTAAATTCTTGTTTGAACTTATTCATTTAATTTGGGCAGAAATTTCGACTGGTTGATAAATTTTTGTTTGGGCAGAAATTTGAATTGGTTGGGCCAAAATTTTTTCTAGGCTATATCTGTTACGGATTTCAGAACCCATTCTACAGCAGTTTACATTTGGTTCCATATCTCATTTTTTTCACTGAATAGCTCAGATAATTTTATTAAAAAAATTCAAATTACGGAAATTTCAAAAAAAAATACCTGTGATACAAAATAATCCAGAGCAATGCTTTGACCAAGCACACTACCAATAATGCGGATACTATCTGTGTCCAGATTTTTCAGAACAATGTAGTCTGGGCCTCCCTGCATATCCTCAATCAACGTTGGCTTCTCTTTTACAGCATAATCTGGGGGGGAAGTGGAAAGCAAAACAAAAATTTGCATAAATCAACTTATAAGCTACCCTTTTTTACAAACAACTTGTAACTTACTTTTCAAAACTTTAAGTGAGAGCATGAGGCTTAACAGAGCACACAGGGCTAAACACATAATATGAACATTTTTTTTTTCCTTTTTCGGGCTAAATAAGAACACTTTAATCTTAAATCTTAACAAATATAGCAACTTATGGAAATGGAATGATCATAGAACTGCAGGATTAACAAGATGCAACATTAATGAAGATGTGTGTAAGTAATAACAAGGATGGAAAACCAGTATGCAGAGTATTTTTGAACTGCAGTTATGATCTTGAACTATGGGTAGCTAAATTATGACATAGCAGACAATGAGAGATACTTTTTCATCTTATCATTTGATTTGCTAGAATGAAAACAACTAAACAATTTCAAGAATATTAAATTTTTTTCCCCTGATTGACAATGGAAAGAAATAAACCTAAGGATCAATGCAAGAAAGAGATCACACCTTTCAAAGACAACAACATAAAATTGCCTTTTTTTGGTGCAGCTTATGGAGAGTGTTTATCTTTCTTTTCTAATTTGGAAGTTCGAGCATTTGGTGCAACTTCTGTTTACAACTTATGAGGCAAAAATAACGTAAATACACTAAAAATATATAATTATTGAAAACTGGTGAAGGGATTTTTTACCTTCTTCACTTAGATTATCAACTTTTAGCTTGTCAAAAGTTGCACCAAACAGGCCTAATGAGTAATTCATATATCTTGTAGTGTTGACAAAATAGTAGTATAGCATATTTTATAGCAAGAAGAGAAAGAATGGGCAAAAAGAGAAATATTGTTCTTGGCCCACTTTGAGACAAAATAAGAAGGTGCAAATTGCTCCACTAGCAGCACTTTTAGGGGGGAAAACACATGTTGATATAGTGTCTTTTTTAAAAAAATCCAGTGGGGACAATTGCTGCCAATCGTCTGATGTCGATCTGCCCATGGCCCCATACCTTGTTGTCTAGAAAGAGCACAAACTGATTCTTCTTGTAGATTTTACTATTGAGCTCAATTTTGATGTTGAGCCCTTTTGACCTCTTTGGATTTTGTACATATGTGGCGTCCCTTTCAGCACTCTTTAATACAACTTATCTTCACTTGTCAAAAAAAAAAATTCACTGATTAAATAACTAACAGGGCCAACTAAAGTCCACAATATGCTGCAATATAGACAAGTTTATTATCTTGAACAACCAGAAAATGTCTTGTGGTCTTCTATACATAGGTGTCACCGACAGAGCTGTTTTCTATGTCACATCTATACTTAACAGTTTTTTGGATAAGTCTCCATAAGGATATATATAATATGAAAGATAAGAAATAAACGTCAAATAGTAACTCTCATGCTACTCAAAGATGTAGTAAAATATTAAACTACAAATGTGGATGCAAACAATAGGGCATAGTTTAAGTCGAAATCATTTTCACCACCTTTGTCAAAAGAAAGGTATTTGGAAAGAAACTTACCATCCTTCCTCATCTCTGGAAGCAATCCAGAAGCATGCCTTCTAACAATTTCCAAATAAAATTCAATTTCATGATCCTCGACATTAAACAGGACAGCAGACCCATATTGAAATACAACCATATAATGGCAGCAGCTCACATTTTCTTCAATTCTAATGCCCTGAAGTAAAAAGTTTCACATAAGCAAAGGGCAATGAAACAGCCACCTTTCCAATTAAAATAAGGGTTTTGGAGCTGACAGTCTATTTACAACTCAAAATGTACCCACATAAAATATAGTCAATGGGCACTAACTCACATCTCAAGCCTTGTCCATTGCTATGAAAGAGTACTAAATATTAGTACCATAACCTAAACATGGCAATATAACCCACATTTGTACTCATAAAATAATTTTGACAATTTATTCAAGTTAAGTTAAGACAATTAAAACCAACGGGTCCCACAAGACTTATGATGCAAAGTATAAGAAGCTCAAAGAAGGCTAAATTCAAAGAAACGATAATATTTGGACATTGGCATGATTTCAACAAAAAACTTAATATAATTATGTTTCTAGTATTATTAGAGACCTATTTTATGATTATTTTTATGTTTTTTAGGATTTTTAGGTCAAGGGTATTTTGGTAATTTTCATATTTGCTGACATGGCTGTAAGGGGGTCGCCCATGGATTGTCTTGTGAGTCAAATTATTTAATTGATTTTTATTTGAATTTCTTATTTGGTCTTGAGTTAGTTTTGGAAGTCAAAGTAGTTTTAGTAATTTCTTTTTTTGGTTCTAGATCGTTTAGAAAATCTCATAGTCTCCGGTGGTCGGCTAGGGTTTGCAAAACTATTTTGGTGATTGTTTTGGGTTCATGATCCATCTTTGGTGATTATCTAGGGTTTTCGAGCCTTGTTTGTCTAAGGCTCGCGCTTCTACTCCAATGGTCATCAAGGGCCTACGTTCCTACTCCAATTGCCATCTAGGGTTGGCAAACTTCTCCAATGGTTGTTTAGGGACATTTTGAGTCTTATACGGTGGATCGACTACAAGTTGAGACCATTTCTAGAGAAGTCTGCAGTCTGCTTTCATGATTTTCTGAGTCTGTGATCTGCTTTCTGGTTTCATTTTTCGGGACTTCTTGGTCATCGTTTCTTATGTTCAACTTTGTTGATGGGTTCGCCTGTCATTTGTGATTATACCTAGTGTTTTCTTGGCTGGTGGGTTCTTAGCTTTGTGCATGTTTTTCAAATTGTTGGTGGTGGTTTTTGTGTTGTTTCTTTCGATTCTTTTTCTTATGCATTGAACAATGAGAGGAAGGCCTGAGAATCTATTAGTGGGGCCAGAGAAAGGTCATCGGCAGCGACTTTTGTTTTTGGGGCCATGGTCTTTTGAGATTGATGAGGCGGTGATGGATGGCATTGGTCATAGTTGATTGCCGATAGTAGAAAGGGACCAAGGATTGCAAAGGGAGGTCGGTTTGATCAGATGTGAGGTTTTTACATAATGGGCAAAGCAATGGGTTTCAGCGAGCTGGTGTGGGGCAACAGAAGGTAGGTTTTTACATAATGGGCAAAGCAATGGGTTTGGTCAACGAGATAAGGGGGACTTGGGCCGCACTAATTTACGTGTGAACCCACCTCTTCAGCGGGTGTTTGGTTCTTTTAGGCAGTCGCTCAAGCAAGGTGTGTCTGTGAATGTGTTGCCAGGATGAAAAATCCACTTCACATCTTCTACTTCATTACCCTATGGCATTTGAAGGAGGTGTTGTGCAGTTGGAGGGGGGTCGGGTGGGAAAGAGATGTCGGAAGGCCTGGCATCTTGCCCCTTTGTGTTTAATGTGGTTAGTATGGTTGGAGCGTAATTGTCAAACTTTTCACGGGTTAACGGTTCTATTGCCTCGGTTGAAAAACACGCTTTTTGTGGTATTGTATAGTTGGGTGCTGAGGAGAGTGGCACCGGATTTATTTTCTTTTGTGGAGTTTATTGATTCTTTATATGTCTAGATGTAGGCTTGATAACGCTATTTGATTTGTTCGCATCATCTTGATGCTCTCTTTCTAATAATATCTACATTATTTATTAAGAAAACAAAATTTAATAGAGTTGATATTTTACAGAATTTGAAAAGCATTGAAACTTTCTTATGAATTGTGTGATGCAATCAAAGCTTAGGTGTAATGCCCAAGGGATTCTAAGAATGATTCATAGACTTATCTTCTTCTTCTCTTTTTTCTTTCATGCACACATACCATAATTACTATTCTCGGTTTACTATTTATAGCCCTCAAAGTGCACTTTTCAATCTCAAAACCCTATTCAACCATTCACAAATCAACTCTAATCCCTTACCCTACGTATTAGCCTTCAATTTAATCATTAAAACCTAAATTACTCACTGTTTAGGCAGTCAAGTAACCTCTATTTTGAAAGTCCAGCAAGCTGTCCTATATAACTTGCCACGTCAGCATCACTAAGGGTATGGTTCCCACAACCATACCCCCTCCACTGGACTCAATAGTTGCACCCTGATGCTACAAAACCTGCCTAGGCTGAGAACAAGGCCTAGGGCACCTCGAGGTTGGTGCTTAGGTCATGGAACGTCTGAGCAACCCATGACCCTGCACGTGATCATCAAGGACCTGTGGATTAGCGGCTAAAGTTGAGAGTATCATCATAGCTGCCTTGCTCACCGTTCAAGGTGGGCCCACTCTAACCATTCTAAAACGAGAGAGACTGGCCTCACATAGAGTCAGCAAGGGTTAACAAGTTCACACCTTTATTGGACTTGGGTGAGCACACCTAGTACAGCTTTCCATTGCTTTACAACCTTTTCCCCCTCTATCTAAAGGGAGATCACCCCCACCAAGAGAGATCATACCATTCCTTCATGGAGTCATCTCCCTTGCCCCTGACCCGTTGAGAGGCTTCAACTCCATTGTTACAGCCACTCTCTCTCTCTCTCTGTCTCTAAGTCTGCCTCATCTCTCTCCCTCTCCACGTCTGGTCATCTTGTATCATCTTTGTGCCTACCATGGTTCCCCCCAAGGTCCCACAATCTACTGCACATGTGAACCCTCCATAAACACAAGATTCTTAACAAGCAAGGCTTTATAGCTTAGATCAAGAATACACAAGTTTCAGTGTCATTTTTGTAGCCAGCTAAACAAGACAAATCGAAAAGTGGGACCACATTCCCCTTTTACGCTATAAAAAGTAAGTCAATTACATCATAGGATATGACCACTTAAAGGAGATGTCAGTTAAAAAAACAAAGGAAAAGGAAGAAACAAAATCAAATGACGTTGTATAATAACGTATGTAATGTTGATTGACTATTCTTACAGTAGTTTTTGAAGGGAAATTGCAGAATCTGAGAGCAATATAATTTGATGAGCGAGAGGTGGGAGGAACAACATTGCTCGAATTCTCGGCATGCATGCTCTTCAAATCAATACTGCCAAAATCATGAATCTGAGAAAGCAAAATCAGAAAGAACAAAAACAGAGCGACAAGGAAAGGTGAGAGAGACAGAGGGAGCCCTGAGACACAAAGCATGCAGAGGATAACACAAATAAACTAACCATCCAAACACCCAAAAAATTTACAACAAAACAAAATCATATAAAATCAACAGTACAAGAGATAAAAAAAAAAGTAGTTATTCCTACACAAATAATATAAACAAAACAAAACAATGCAATGCAATGCAATAAGAAGGGAGGAAAAAGTGGCTAAAACATTCATTTATTTTTGGGTAAGTGAATTTGTATAGTTGGTATCAAACAAGAAACTTACACATGTTACAGTTTACACCAAGAACAGATTCCAAGGAGTCCCCATCTTTAGGAGGTATTTCATTAATTTTAATTTAAATCATCAACTAAAATATGCAAGCAGAAAGGAAAGTGGTGTTTCAGATTTATGTCACTTGAGTCATCCCAACATCAGACTTTCCTCAAAGGTAGCTTCAATGAACTAAACTTTAAACTGACCAAAGTTTAGAAATTCCAGTCAGATAATCATTAGAAGTGAATTAAGAGAAAAGGACAGAGAATTTTAAGTGAAATGTATTTCAATTTAACCTCACAAGAGACAATAATTTGTGAAGAAGGTAAGAACTGACATATTTTTATTTGTTCCACTGGAGTACCATGAATTTTTAACAAATCTGTCAGCACAGAAGTAGCACAATGTTGATTGAACAGGAGGTAGGACAAATATGCACAGTAAAGAACCACAACACAAGGATGCTGGCAGGTAGAATAGAGTCAACAACTTCTAAAAATTTATGTATTCAACTTTCTTGTTCGATACGAAATGTGTGAGAAATCCATAGACTTCGCCATTATCTGTCAAGTTTAACTCCAAGACACATGTTCACTAACTTCAAGCCAAACCCTATAAGTTCATAGATTCCTTTTTATGAGAATCAGTCAAGTAGACTCCAAACTTCCCAACAGAGTGGACTGGGTGAGAGCAGAAATGATCTTAGAAAGAGAAAAAGTAGTAATGGAAGCCTGGAGATGGAGAACAAAAGCGTTCTCACCAGAGAGTGAAGATTAATAGGAGGCGAAGGTGGAGGCTCACTATTTATACAGGGTCAAGCAATAGAGGCCAACTCACCTGGGTCACAAGGCCAACAACCTCGATGTAAATGCCACAACTAATAATGGCCCCCAAATTCTCAAAGGATTTAAAGGTAGTCAAACGTGCACCTCAAGTATGAAAACGTACAGAACACAGCATGTGTCATTGTCTTGGTCTATGATTGTCTTTTTGATGAGGTCTCTTTCTAAGATGGATCGAGTTGCAAGTCCATCGAAGAAGAGTCATATGAACCCCACAACGAACCCTCAAACTCAAGCCATCAAGTCAGAAGACCTAGTGATATGATGCGAGGATCACAAGGTAATGCTTGGGAGCCCGATGACCATAGCATCAACCTCAAGGTGGTCATAGGCATCACCCTCAACCTAGGTTTTCATGAGCAAGGTTTTCAAATGCACAATTGGGGCATGCATTGAGGTGTGTTTTAAGGCGAGGTGTTGATAAAACACACTGGGGCGCTCTTTATTATGCTTGACACCAGCTATGAGTAGGTATTTAGGTCTAGCGAGAACACCTCAAGTGCGCATCTTGCACACTGAACGTTTTTTCCAAGGAGGTAGTGCCTAACTAGATTACAAAAAAAAATTTTAAAAATTGAGAAAGAAAGGAAACTTGGCTGATATGCTTCAAATCAAAGATACATTCAAAGGGATACAAGTCTTTTGCTCTTACGATTGATGAACAATTCAAAATTCAAAGAAATCTGAGCTACGATCTTTGATGATTAGGGTTTTCAAGTATCTCTCTCTCTCTCTCTCTCTATTCTCTGTCTCCGTTTTTTCTCTCTCATTGGGTTGTCTCGCTCTCTATCTTTGGTTGTAAAGAATGGGAGTCTCTAACTTCTTCTTTGTTGGTGAGAGGCATTTATGATAGAAGAAGATAATGACTAATATAAAGGCCTTTATTTATTTATTATTTAAAGCTCTCTCTCTTTTCAGTGGATCTTGCCAACTTCCAATTTCTTGACCAGAACCTTCATCATTTATTAAAAGAAAATGGCCTTTAATATTATCTTTTTTTGAAATTAATAACCATCATTTTTATTTTATGTATACGTCTGTGTGTTTAAAATATTAATCACACTTTTTAAGATCATTTTTTTATAGCTTATTATTTTAAAACTGTGTTATAATTAATTAACTTTATATTTTATAAAAGTAAAAAAAAAACTAAAACTTAAAAAGCTTACGCCTCAATGCCTTGAGGCTTACGCCTCGCCTTGCGCCTCGCCTTGCGCCTTCCCCTTTGAAAACTTTTTTCATGAGAGCATTAGGGTGCCATTAGATAACCAAGTGTAAACTATGAGAGTATGCTCAGTTGAGCCGATGGAAGTCTAAACATATTGCAGCAAGCAGAAAAGGGCTCACTGTGATGGAGAGTTTGCTCGACTAAGGGAAGGCGGTCAAACTTGATGAAGAAGCTCCTTGGAAAATGCACTTGGCTTGAGGCTAAGACACCATGTCCATTAGTCTTGGCTAGTCGACGTCTATCATAAAGAGATAGGTGGCACATGGAGAGATCTCATTGGTCCAAATGCCACCTCACGACTAACGGTACTAACAAATGGGACCAAGGCTCATGACGAAGATGACATGCTGAGAAATGCAACTAACATAGCTCACCTCGTGGACACGTGGGCCCACATACCTACAGCCATCAATTAGCAATAAGAAAAAAATGAAGGATCCTTATGCATCAACACTACATGGTAATCATTCCATCACGACATGAAATGCTCCATTGCATTTGCATCAAACTAAGGTTTTCCCCAGTTGAAGAGATGGATTGGATGGGGTAGATATCTTAGCACATAATTTTGCAAGAGAAGGTCTTCAATCACACTGACAGGTAGAATATTAGTGGTTCTTTGTATGTTTGTTCTATCCCAAAAACACACAACTAATAAAAATACATTTGGTAAGGCTCCAATATGCCATCAAGACAAGGTTGCAAGCAATCCGATAAGGTGCAACATCTATATTACATAGACTATTCAAAATAAAACAAATATCTATGTCAAATGGCCAACACTTCGACAAGGGTGTGGGATGCGTCTTATATTTCCCATCAAACACTTCTTATATATTTCTATTTAACACTATCATTATATGTATATATTGTTGTACAAATGCTATAAAAATGAGCAAAATGTCCTTTTGACACTGTATGTTAACATCATTTTTTTTTTTTAATTATAAATTATGTTAACATCATTTTTCCTCACATAATAAATTAAAAATACGAAAATACGACCATTTTTTGCCAAGTTTACGCACCCTTAAATTTGAGATTTGATAAATCCAACCTCTAGATATATACCTGACACTCTCCAAGGCTCCAAGCCCATCTAACATGGAACAACTAATAGAATTACCAGCTGAAAAAGAACAACCTTCGACTTGTCTTCATGGCACCGGTTATTTCAATTAGCAAATACGTGTTTGGGTGGCCCTAGCTTCTTGAACTCAATTGCTTTTGATTGACTTCAGAGATTTGGCACCAATAAGAAAGCCAAGTCTTTGAGAAGACTTTGAGGAATGGTGTCTTCTTTTCACTTTTATGGGTTATTTGGTTGGAGCGAAATGCCAGGATCTTTGAGTACAAATTTGAGGAAACTGATTCTCTACAGGGTAGAGTGTGATTTTCATCCTCTTTTTGGGCTTCGGTTTCTATTCCTTTTAAAGAGATTTCATTATCTTTTATCTCCAATAACATATCTCTATCTAAAGAGACATAATCCTTTTCAAATTCTAGTACAAGGGGCAATTTGAGGACTTGAATTTTTACTGTCCTTGTTTGTTACTATTCTTCTTTTCTGTTCTGGGTTGTGTCATTTATATGTCCTTTTTTTTATTTCCATACATTACAATTTGATTTACTAAATACCCCTTGTTTTATCATCCATTCGTATTTGTTCATCCATTAGAAAAGGGTACGTTGACTTTGACATGACATCCTTGAAAATGACTTTGTTGGTCTTTATGCGCTCTATATGGCAGTACGCCTTCTGGATAAAATCAAAGAAATGTTTTTATTATGCAAATGGAACTAAATGCAATCACAGAAGGAAAAATAATAACTAACGCACAAATTTCCCATCACTATATGCAATTACACACCAATTCCAGCTGAGCAACAGAATTATTTCTTTGGTAACGAGCGTATTGTTGCTCCAACTAGTTCCCTAGTACATGAAGTCTCCCATCGCACACGTACAAGGTACTTAACAAACATAGACCCAGTGAAAGGGGGGCGCTTATCACAGCTCAACTTGTAAGTTTAGTTAGAACAATACAAATTTTATAAAGCGTCTAATGACATATATATAGAATTTAGAAACCAACAAATACAACCCGCATTCCATGATCCAAAAACTAGAAATTTACAAATGCTGTCCAACCTTTTATTCCAAGAATACCTTCACATCCGGCAACTGAACTATCCAATAACAATTTAACGGTTTTTCCCACTCCAATTTTCATCAGTCATCAAATAAAATAATGGGGAAATTACAGAACAGTGGTAGTTTAGAAAAATAATTGCAGATTCATGAAAAAGTAATTATTAGTATTTATGAAGTTTACCATTGATTTGTAATAATTTTCTAAATCCAAACAAGAAAAAGTAAAATTACAAACACCCAGCAGCAGTATAAATAAAGATATGCATATATGAGGTACGTAGCAGATTGATGGAGATTATTATTATTACCTGGTGCAAAGAAAATAAGCTTTGATGGGGATTTTGGGGGTATCCAGATCTTGCTTGGAGTCCAGAGCATCAAAATTAGGGAGCCTATAATAGAAATCATTGTCATAAATGGGTGATGGAGATGGGAGTGCAGAAAAGAATCGATTTGTGGAGTTTGAAGAAAGCAAGAGACGGAGAGGATTGAGAAGGTGAGGAGAAATGTTAGGGTTAGTGGATTTGGGTATTGTTATTATTCTCGCCATGTTCGACAGGATCAGGGAAGCTCTCCATCTCCCCATTCACTGCTCTTTGATTAATACACTTTTTTTTCTCTCTCTTTTTCTCTTTCTCGCTTCTTCGTTTTCTTTCTCTACTATTCATTCATTCATGTGCCCTTCTCAAAGACAAATCTAAACGGCTTAACCGGTCTTTGCCTGCCTACTACTTCATCGATGTTCTTTAGGGCTTATTTCATTGGACAAATTCCACTTTACACAAAGGTTTGGCCTACGTGGCATTACCCATAAAATATTATGGATGTCAAACAAATTATCAAATTTTTTATTAAATCTCTCACGGATATAAAATTCATACAAATCACATATGTGTAGATTTTGCACCTATATGAGATGTTCAATAGAAAATTTAATAATTTATTTGGGATCTTTGGCCTAACACTTACCCCTTCCTATCTATCTATATATTCACCTCGTAATTATTTTAATAAGTTATTTTAATTTTTAATTATTTTAATATATTAAAATATTTGTGTTTTAGAAGTTGATTAAAAAAAATTTTATAGTTACATGTGATATTCGTGAGAAAAAAAAAATAGAATGATTATGAATTTGATATGACAATTTTTTTTGTTGACTATTTTAAATTATTTTATCTTTTGTGAATTTTAGCCAAAAAGTAATAAATAGGGTCATTCTATTTACACACCATCCTCTCTCTCAACGCAAACCTTAATTAATTTATTTTTTATTACAATTTTAACCTTAAATGGAATAACTATAGAGGACAAGTTATGATACACACCATTTGTGTATTTACCATAAAGGACAAGAATCAATATAATGTAAATCATCAATTTCAAACTTGTTCTTTACGTATCTTCTCTATTAATAATCCAAAACCCCTAAACCAAAATCAAAAACCCTTCAACAAATAATCAAAAATATAGTATTATTGAAGATTTTGATTGGATTCAATGAAGGATGCATCTGACAATTCTCATTCGGAACAATGGAGCAATGAAAAGGTTATTTTTTTTGGTTGTTTTTGTCTTTGTTTTTGTTTATGAGTGGTAAATCGGTGTTCAGTTAACCAGAGGTAAATAATATATCATTGTTCGACAAACTACAATCGAACAACTTACATTTGTTCGACGAACTACAATCGAACAAATTACATATGTTCGACAAACTACAATCGAAAAACTTACATTTGTTCGACTATCTAAACCGAACAACTTGCACTTGTTCGGATTACTATAGTCGAACTTTTTCATTTAATTCGACTCTATACTGCCGAACAGTTATAAAAAAAAATTCCCTTTTTTGAGAACTGTGCATCCGTGGAATGCAGTAATATTGGATCTGGGGGTCTTGTTGACTACACGAGTCAATTTATTACTAATGAGATAGTTTGGGGCTGTGGTCAAAGAGCTCAAGACCCTTTTTTAAAGTTTTGTAATGGTTCATGGTGGAAATAGGTACTGTATATAATAGGGTACAGCACTTTTCTTTATCTTCAAATCAATTAAATTTGGCGGCAAGAAAACTTCATGCAGACAAACTGATTATATCAATTTATTAGAAACTTTCCCAATGTGGGGGAAATTAAGGGAAAAAAAAAACATATACTGTTCGACAATAAAGAATCGAACAAAGCATTATAGTTCAACATTCTACGTCCGAACAAGTTCGACAATAACAAGCCGGACAAACTGATTTGGTTCGAAATTCAAGTGTGGAACGAGCCCGTATCGCTTTTGGCATTCAAAATTACAGTGTCGAACGGTTTGGAACTGATTCATTCATGGCAATGGTAAAAAATACATAAAACCCTAAAATCTAAGTGAAATGAGAACTCACCTACTACTTTACTTAAGCACCAACGACGTTTTCACCACTGCTTCACTCTGTGTTGAGCACCAACACAGTGTTCGCCAGTTAAAACTGAGAATGGAGGGGGGAAGATGGACGAAGGTGGGTGTGTGGGGGTGTGTGAGTGAGTGAGGGTAAATATGGGAGTTTGAGTGTATATTGTTGTGGATAGGTGTATGAGTAAGGACAAATATGTAAATTTGTGACGTGTGATGAGCAAAATATATATTTACTAAATTATTAAATGTGTGCTTTTAGAAGTAGTTTGCCTTGAGATAAATTATAGTGTGTAAATAGAGGCACCCTAATAAATAACCTTTGCCAACCAAGGCCATTATGGTTTGGCCTACGTGGAATTACCCTCTCACATCTATCTATATATTATATATGTAAGAGGAGATTTTTAACTTTTAAATTTCATAATTTTTTAATTTTTAAAAATTTTAAAAATCTTTTATTGACCAGCTCTTATTCAAGCAAAAAAAATAAAAAATAAAAAATAAAATTTAATATTCCTTGATTTTTGACTTTCAAATTAAAAGTATATCAAATCTAAAAAAAATAAAAATTATACTAATCTATTACAAAATTCAAATTTGAGAGTTATTAAATATGAAAAGTAATCTATTAATTTAAATTAAAATTAGCACCATATAATTTAAAATTATAATGATCTATCTCATTACTTATAAGTTTTAAATACAAATTTAAAATTATCATAATTAGCTTATAATTTTTGCATTACTGAGCAATAATAGTGACATTGATATTATTTATATATTTTACAAAAGAATACTTTTAAGAAGAGATATTATGAGAATTTTAAAACCTCATACAAAATTTATATACTATCATAATTGCGAAATTTTGTCTTCTTATTAAAGCTGAAAGTTACAATTTTTTTATTTTTTTTTGATTTTTTGTTAATATGTGTCACAATATAATTGATCTATAAATTAATTTTATATTCTTAAAATAAAAAATTTAATTAGATTCTTCCATAAATTATGTTACCAAAATAAGATCAATATTCATTCTTTAATTTTTGCATCCTTTATTAAATTATAAAATAAAATTTTAAAGGGTGAAGTACCAATAAATCCCAAAATGTGATCTTGTGAACTGTTTGGTCTTTTATTTTTTCTTATATACCCAAAGGTCCCATTAAAAGTAGAAATTACACAAAAGGTAGTCATTTACACATTTGGGTTTAACTTTTGAAGGATAAAAGTGGGTTTCTCCAAATGTGAAATTACACATTTGGACAATCTGCACTACAAAGGTTTTGAATTTTCCCTCCTTCTGGAACAAATCTCATATTACGAACAAAAAATACAACACTCCAATGTAACACACGAAAAAATTTCTTAGTGTACATTTCCCAAATGTAACAATGTAACACTCCAAAAAAACTCATTACTGTACTTTTCCCAAACATAGCACTCCAATGTAACACACAAAAAAATTTCTTAGTGTGCTTTTTCTAAACGTAACATTCTATTCAATGTAATTCCAAGCGTAACACTCCAATGTAATACATACAAAAACATTATAAAAAAAATCTTAGTGTACATTTCAGAAACGTAACACTCACAGTTTGAAATTATACATTTGCATAAATGATCATGATGTAATACATATATATATAATATGCCCAAATGCATTTTCAAATCCACCTGATTTCTCAACAAAATCTCTTATTTCCAATTTCCAAAATCTTACGTTTAATCAAAACGTTTTTCGAGTTCAAAACATCTGTTTGATATAAAATCCCTTGCTAAAAACCAATATAGGTATCTCAATACCAACCAGGAAATACATTGCTAAATCAAATGTGAATACATCGCTAAACAACAGCAAATACATTGCTCAAACCTTTTTCCAAAACATCATTTCAAGCCAAAACGATAGTAAATAAAATGGGTAAATCTCCAGGGCTAGTGTTCATAGGGGTGACTATACAAGTCACAAGGTTATTTTTACCGGTGCTAACTAGAAGGCTTGACACCTACTGCGCGGGTTTAGGTCTTTCACCATGGACACACAGGCCAACTTAATTCTGCTTTAACACCCCCTCATAGCTTTACCACTTTATTCACCATTTTCCAATAGCACAATATGTGTGATTCAAAATATTATTTTTCAAAACAATACAAATGTTCCAAAACTAAATACGAGAATTTCCAAAACCTTTTTCCAAACATACGGTTTCAAATTCAAAAAATTCATTACATGCTCCATGATATGAATGATTTCAAATTGCCTAATCCACATTCAATTTCTAATACACGGCAATGTTATCCTCCACCGATAGCTAAAACAGTTCTCTAATGCAATACTTAATAGATAACAATACAGATATATTTATTCAAAAGAGTAACAACACTTATTTTTGAAATCTCACAACCATTTCCTTTCCATCTCATTCCAACCAAACCATTACCAAAAATCAATTCAACTCCCAAAACAATATCATTTAGGATTTTTCTACAAATTGGGGCTTTTCTACTTTTAGAAATCTATATGCAATTTGTATACTGAAAATAACCATAGTAGCATAATTATAGCCCCAAAACCCCCAAATTTCACAAAACCATCAAGCCCAAAATAACATTTCAAAATCAACCAAATGACTACCAAATATAAATATGCCACAAATATGCTACTAAACTCATATGGAGTTAAGGAAATAGACCCTACCTCGACTCCAGAAGAGGAGAAAGCCAAAAAGCCCCAAAGGCCAACGTCGACGAAAACATGAAGCTCTTGGATCAAAAGAAAGCCCTAGCCCTTGATGAAATCCACAACCTTTCTCAAAGGACCAAGGTGAAAAGATGTCTCTAACCGAGTAGATCTAGAGATCTATGTGAGAAAAGTTGAGTTTAGAGAGAAAGAGAGAGATTCACGGCTCAAAGAGGGAAAAGTGCAAGAAGAAGAAGAAAAGAAATAAATGAGGAAAGTGTGTTTGAGGTCTATTTATGGTGGTAGAACAATAGCCCTAAAGTCAATAAAAAGAATAAGTCAAAAACCCCCAAAAGTATGCCCAAACCGAACCCAAAATTCTGGAAATAAGTCGCAGGGGTTGACCCCCAAGGTAGTGATGTCGACCCTCAAGAAGAAATGTTAAGACACTTATGTTTGCAGCAGACAAGAAAGTCAACCCCAAAACCGGTGGTGTTGACTCCAAAAAATAGCAGCAACACCCAAAACACAGCAATAAGGTGGTGTCGACCCTAGGAAGACTGGTGTCGACCCCAAAAGCCAGTAGAGACACCAAGAATAAAATAGCAAGGTGGTGTCGACCTTAGGAACTCATAGTGTCGACCCCAGGAA